TGTCTCTCACTAAATGGTGTCTTCAGCTGCTGGAAGATGTAAGATGGTTTAAATATTGTCCCTAAATAGCGACTTTATTGACTAATATGTTTTTTTCTCATCATTCTAAAGGGACAAAACACCTTTGTGTGTGCTGTGTTTGGCTGTGATGCTGTGTGGCCTTTTGAAGAGGTCTGCAAGATGGCTCAACTGACTACTCAGGAAATTAAGTATTTCAAGAAGACCATGGCTATAAATGCTTCTAATACCAGAAGAGTAAGCATTATTATAGCCACCCTTTTTATTTTACAGTTTTGATTGTTTGGAAATATCACTCAATTTAAATCTCACTTTCACAGTGTCCTGGATGCATGTCCCATGTTGCAAGACAAAACAAATTAAATCTTTGTGTCGGCTGCAAAGTGTGCACAGCAAAGAAAGGACGTCAATATGAATTCTGCTGGCAGTGTCTGAGGGAATGGAAAGGACCAAAGCCACGGATGAGCCGCTGTGAGAACGAAGGCTGCAGCAACACGGTGCTGCAAACGCTGCAAACCTGCCCCGATATCGTCTTTGACACGGTGATAGGAATCACCGGGTGTCCCTCCATCCGGGCCTGTCCCACCTGCGGATCACTGCTGGAGCATAAACGAAACCACTGCAAACACCTTACCTGTCCTCAGTGTAAGGTCAAGTTCTGTTTTGTGTGTCTGAAGACTTTTGCTGAATGTTCTAGAACAAGCGGCATTTCAGCACCGTGCTCCAGTGGTGTTGCTCCCAGACAGACAGTTATCCCAGTGTGGAGAAAGAGTTAATACTCCTTTAACACGTCTGTTTCCTTGGACATTGATTTGTCACCTCAAACAACACCAATGTGTCTCATTGTACAGGATGTTTTCTAATCCTAGAGACCAAAAACATCACGCTGATGACAGTATTTGTTAGAGTTAAAAGCATAGGGATATTTAATGACTTGCTAGATCAGAACCAATGAAGGGCTCCTTAATTTTCTTGCAGTTTTGGGTTAGTGATTGTCAGTGTAGAAAATTATAACTGGCAGAACTAGACCAGACTGATGTTATTCAACCCTTTTGATTGCTATAATGACAGTTGTTTTTGAGTGGCGATAATCCTTAAATAACATAGCCATTGTTGAACAAATAATGCTCTTTCACACAAAAGTTTGAAAACAGATGGAATGTTCTGGCCTAGTTAAATTAGTGATTAACAATACATTAAACATGTCTTTGGTTGCATATTCAACAATTCCCCACAACCTTTCAGATTTGCTCTGGCAAGTGCAGAAGTGTGACACTACTTGGTACTCTTATATAACCTTATTTTGCTTCTGGTTTGTATTGCTATTCTTTTGATTGCAGGTTTGTTATCTTTTATATGCCCTTATCAAAGAACAGGGGATAATCCCATTTATGAACAAGCAGGCACATGGAAACCACCTTACAGCACATGAAGCAATTCTGGTGAACTAGGTAGTTTCCATATTCTGTCCGGTAGTGCCAAATAACATATACAATAAAGAAATACTACTTAATGAAATGAAATGATTTTCTAATGGATACAATATCTGCTACAATCTGCATTGGCTTTTCTAGAAGGAAGAGTAGTCCTCTTGTTATTTCAGGTTAAAAGAAATCCTCCTGCACAAGGAATGCTCTTTGTAAATCTTAACTGGGAAATCCATGCTGATAATTCTAAATTTAAAACCAGTTTAAAAGAGAAAGAGAAACTGCCATGAAGTTGAATTTATATGACGGTGGGGATAAGAATAAAATGCACACAGAAATATGCTTCAGCCTCTGATGACATTTCTGCATAGAAACCCCTTTCCCCACTCTTCCTGGTAGAGATATTTTAAAGTATATGAGCTAAATAATAAAGCTCTGAATCTTTTATAATCCACTCATTGCTTCATCTTTATGTCTATATATTGGGCAGTTTAAGAAAAGCTGTGAAGCTACAGCATTATGTTTTTGAGCAATGACAGTGTTGTTAAGCATAAACATTTATTGCATGGATATGTTGCTTTTCAAGCTTTTTTTTGCACATTCTAAAGCCAACATTCTCAAAGGCAGGGTTTGCTTGAGTGACATGTGATTTTATATTAATTTTGGTACAGGAAAAAACTATGATCCCTTGTAATATAACCATGGAGAAACCATGGAGAAATAAAAAGCAGAGATCCTTTTCTGTCATTGTTGTCTGTGACGAAGGTCCTGGCATGTATTTCAAGACCCTGTAGCAAACATGTCAATAGAACTGGTCACATTTCATGACAAAAAAAAAGCTATAAGTTATGGGTGGGCATTTATCTTATGGTTTAACATTATCCTGATAAATTTCTAGTCATAACAATTTTGATCTTTTGCCAAAAAAAATAGATTAGAATTAGTGATTATAAAAACTCAAAATGGTTGAGTTACAAAGTTAACTTACAATAGTTTTCTTTCCTTTTTTCCAGTGGGGCACTGGCAAATTCAAAGAATATGAATAAATGCTGTCACTATGGGATGTTTATTGATACAACATACATTATGCTTCGTTATGTAACTGGTGTCCCGAAGAAACCTATTTTAAGGTTTTTCTAAGGGTAGCGTTTGTGATTCTGGGGCTGTGGTATGGAGTCAGAGCTATATATTAAAAATTACTTTAAAGAATCGATGAAGTGTTTTTATCATTGATTTTATCATTAGTATAGTACATATAGCATATATGCTA